ATGTGGACAAAAATGCTGAAAATGCTGTGAAAAAAAAAGACAACAAAAGTAACATTGGGAAAAGGGGCCCATTTAAGGCATCTTAAAAAATCCTACATGGCTTTTGCCTTATTAAAATATTTTACACTACTTTGTTTAAAAGATTTGGACACATCTGAAAAACATGCAAATTCTTTGAAACCCCTGCTTGGCAAATTCAGAGTCTGTGCGCATCATTCAGATGTTTGTCAGGGACAGTGAGGAAGCCTCTCCCTGTGAGGTCGTACCCGGTTGGGGAGTCCTCTGTGTGTCCTGCATCCGATGGCACCCCAGAGACCTCTGCAGGGGTCACACACAAGGTATTGTTGTCTGGAAGGAAAGGACTGGGGAATTTCCATTGGTTGGAGAACAATGCAGCTTTAGTTTTTCCAGATACTCTGCAGGTACAGACGTATGGTACTGGAGGGTATTGATTGCATCTTCTACTTTGTTATTTTATTTATTTATTGTACCGGGAATTGAACTCCAGGTCCTTGCGCTTGCAAGGCAGGCAGCAGAACCACTGAGCTAAATCCCCGGCTGCATCTTCTACTTTGAACCTTTGTCTCTTCTTTCCTATACTAACAGTCTTCCCAGTCCACTGATATTTCAGTGACTTAAAGAACATAAACATGAACTCTGTGCTTTTGGTCTTGATTCTGCTCAGGTATTCCCAGGAGCCTGCCCAATGTCCTCTGACTTCTGCCTCCTCATAAACTTCCCTCACAGCACCACTGCTAGGCTCCTTCTGGGCTCCATTTCTCCTGGGATGATCCACTGATCTGGGTACCCACTGCTGTTCACCCACAGCACTTTGTCCTCCTCGCTGCAGAAGCACAGGCGCACTTCACACTTCTTGAAGCCCTCATGGTCATAGGTTCGCTTCTGGTTGGGCTTGAACTTCATCACAGAGGCAAGCTCCAGTGACCATCACCACCCTACCAGGTAGCGGGGTAAGTCAGGGCATCAGTGGTGGCACTTGGCTGGCAAGCCCAGTCAGCCCTGGGAGCCGCTGGTCACTCTCACTCTGACATGGTATGGGATGCAGGCGTGGGTCCAGGTTTACCTTTATAACAGGTCCATTGCTTTTCTCTCAACAGGTTTTAAGGTTTTGGTCCTGCGTTGGACTACTGGTATTTTGACTATAATGTGTGACTATGATGTCCTTTGATAGTGGTTATTTGGTAGGGTTTTCCTCACTTATCTCTTTGTTTCTTTCCCTATATTTGGAATGTTTTCTGCTGTCATTTCAGTAAAAATGTTTTTTTATGCCATTTGTTTTGTCTTCTGAGTTTTCATTTATTCTAATTATAGATTAGTCTTGTTTGTGTCATCTAGGAACGCTGGATCCATTTTTTGTATTCTTTCGTTGTTCTAAGATATGCTTCCGAAAATGGTCTTTGAAAGCATCCCTGTCTTCTAATTCTGAAATTCTGCCCTCACCTTGGTCACTTTTGCACATACTTTCAATATAATTTTTAATCTGGATTTCTGATTAAAACTTTTTCATGGACTCTAATTGTTTGTTAAATTGGTAGTTCATATTTCTGTCATTTTATTTGGCTCGGCTAGTACTTTATCAGTGTCTTCTGAAATCTCCCTGATTGTTGTATTACTTCTATTAGCTGTTTAGTTATATCTTCTGTGATCCTGCAGAGTATCTCTGATCAGTTTTTCAATCTCCTCTGTTAACCTTGTTAATGATTTGGGTCTGTGGCTTTTGCTCGTTTCCCCCTCAATTCCCCCTGCATTGGCTTTAGGGTAGTCAGGAGTTTTAGGAGGCATTTTGTTTCCTTGACTCTTCCTGATTCCATAGCTTTCTTTGTTTTGTGCTGAGCTTTATGGGCACTTACATTGGAAAGACTTTGATGCTAATGTGGAGATTACTTTAGTCTGCTTTTCAGTGATGCACTTTGGGCATGGCTAACCATAGCCCTCTGTATCTCCCCCAAGGTTCACCCACCTCTGTTAATTTGGAAGGGGAGGGTGCAGTTCAGTTATCCCAACTTCCAGTTCTCTGGGAATGGACTGCAGTATTGTTAATATCATAAAGGTAATGTTGGTGCTGGCATACAGAGAAAAGCCATTAATAGCAAAAGTTATATGACCCTGGCAGTATCAAGCAGATCAGCTACAGTAGTATGGTCCAAGACAAATTGGATACTGACATACCATAAGAACCAATCATGTACCACCTTAAACATAGAAAAGAAATCCATATTTATAATATTACCACTAAGTCAACTCGGGTATTGGCATACAGCTAATATGTACTAAATGTGACAACAATATCTCAGCTAATAGGAGAAAAGAATTCAACAAAAATTACATAGAATTAATTAGCTATCTAAAGATTCATAAAGCTTAATTGTTAGACTATTAAAATAGAGAGGATTGGCTCCAGGAGAATGCAAGAAGAAAAATTTGAAAACTTAAACTATAGGATGTGAGAAGGAGAGAGAAGTGAGACAACAGATCTTAAGGAGTGGAAGGATATTTATAGAATTAGGTAAAGGTAACAGAAAAAACAAGCAAGATATAAAAGATAAAAAAGAAATAATATGGAAAATACAAATAAGAAAAAAAGGCAAGAGGAAAGGGGGGAAAGCAAAAGAGAAGAAAAAAAAAGAAGTCAGAAAAAAGTTTTAAAAAGAGTGTGGTGGCACACATCTGCAGTCTCAGCACTTGGGAGGCTGAGGCAGGAGGATTGCCATAAGTTAGAGGCCAGCCTGGGCTACATCATGTGTTCAAGACCAACCTGGACTACATAGCAAGACTCTATCTCCAAAAAAAAAAGGACGAAGAAAATTCCCAAAACCCCCAGGAAGGAGATAGAGGAAAGAAAAACAGAGTCCAAAATTTTTTCTCTGTGTTTTGGAATGAGTGGTTTCTTCCAGGACCTGCAGTTTTGGGAGACTACCAATTCTCCATCTAGCCTTAAGACCTGTTTTTCAAGGTGCTCTCCTCACCCCCATTTTAGAGGCTCCTTGGTTTACCTTAGCTGTGGCATTGTCCAAGCCAAGAGAGACCTGTCCCTGCTCAGCCTGGTAGATAAAGAAGGCAGTCAAACCCCAGACCCATGCTGGATGCAGGCAGTAGGGCAAGGGCTAGAATACTAAATCCTGAGACTTTCAAACCCAGAAGAACTCAAGCTAGCCCTGGCTTCTGGTTGGGGGGCAAAGGGGTGTCCTTCTTGCCCAAGCTCAAACCCCTCAGGGGGTCTCTTTCAAACCCATTTTCTGTCTATGGCTGTCTCCTATGACTGTCTCTCATCCAGTCACTGTGGGAAGGTAACACTGGGAACACTGAAGTAAAGCCAAGCCACAACTATTCTGAGTCCCAGATTCAGATACTCAACCCCCTTTCCCGGAATGTTGTCCAACCTTACACTCTTTCCAGTGATATTGCAGACATCTGTACGGGATCACTCTCCAGCTGTTGCCTGTCGTGTGAAGAGAGTTCTGTTGGAGCAAAACCCCACACTGTCCCTGCAGATCACAACCACTGCCAGCACAGTCCACTGCCAGTTTCTCTCTGGAACCCCATATGACTCCCAGTGCTCACCTTCCTTTGGCAGAGTCAGCCAGGAAGACATTCCAAACTTTTGTTCCTTTTGCTCCTTTGTGGTCCACCTCTGCAGCTTCTCTGTAGCTTTTAATTTTCTTGTCACTTCCTTCCTGATTCTTGGGGATCTACTTTTCTTTTTCTCTCTCTCTTTTTTCCTTTTTCAAGTTATTTCCCAGAATCTGGACTCCAAATCTCAAACTGAATTGCTGCTGTTCATCACTCAACCATTTTGAAAAACAAAACAAAAAAGCAGCTGTAGTTTGGTTTGTGCATCATAGTACTCTTTCATTTCTGTTGGTTTGTACCTCTACAGTGTAATTTAGTTTTTTTAAAAAAAAATACCTTTCTTATTTCTATTTCTCTTTTTAAATTTTCTTGGGAAATTTTCCTTGGGAACAGGTAACTTACTTATAAACACTTGCTTCTAACTTGTTAGGTTAGGTGTAACAGAACAGGGCTCAGCTGAGGGTTAATTTCCCAGGCTGAGGCAAGGCCCTTCTGATCACCCTACACAGCCTGGCTGATGGGAGTAGACATACTTCCTGGCACTGTGTGAGCACCTGGAACAATTTTCTGTCATCTTTTCAGGTATCTTTCCTTCAGTCTCAGGTAGTTAACTGGCATACCTATGCTACTCCTTACTCTCCTCACTATTCAGGGAGGGCCCTCTGCAGTTGTCCAGGGTTCTTTATACTGCGCTGCCCTCTAGTGTTCTACCCTGTGATCTTCATCTTCCTTGGTCTTAACCAGACTCAGCTCAGTGCATCTGGGAGACTCAATTTCAGGGTTTTTTCTGTGTCATGGTCTGGGAAGTCACCATGGCAGGGAGTGGGAACACCAGGAAGGCTTACCTCATTTGTTTCCTGCTGATCAGGGATCAGTGTCTTCATTATTTGAGGGCCACTGACTCAGAAATTGTTGTTTAATGTAGTGTATCAGTTGTTGTTTCAGACAGGAAGGTAGATCTGTACCTGTGACTGTACCTTGGCTAGAACCAGATTGCCACAGAGCCTCAGCACCTGCTGTGGAATGAGTAGCACGCTCTTCAAGCTTTGCCTCACTACTCCCTGTTCCCATCCATTTCTCAGTGCCACCATCTCTTCCCCTGGAAAATCTTCCAGGGCCCACTGTATATCATGTTTCTGTATGTGATCACAGAACTGTGTTTGCTTACAGCAACTGTGTGAATTTATAATGGTCCTTTTTTTGCCTTCTCCAGTAGACTTTCAGGTAAACAAGAGCAGGGGCTCATGTGTTTTATCTGCAGGGCTTAGTATAGTGTCTTCCACATTGGGGGCCCGCAGCGTGTGTATGTTCAGTGTATGAATGGGTGAATGTGAAAATGGAAACTTCTTTATATGTGAAAGAGGATCATATATTTTATTTCTGTCTTGTCTTCTCCGTGATACAGATTCTGTTAGCCTATTGAAAATCCAGAAGGCAGTTCAGTCATATAAAAGATTAATAGAACTTAAAATAAGTCACTGTGAACTACTTAGAAGACAAATTGAAAAAATGGAAAATAAAGTCACTGGACTACAAAAAGAGCTATCAGAAACAAAAGAAGTGAAATCACAGTTAGAACATGAAAAAGTAGAACAGGAACAAGAACTCTGCAATGTGAGGTATAATATCCTACTTTCAAAGAAGCTTTCAGACCATTCACTTTCCAGTGCAGATAGGGGGATTTTTGTAGTTCCTGAATACTTCTTACTCTTCTGGAGTCTGAAATTCTTGAAAATAAAATAACAAGTTGTTCACCATGACCGCTTCTAATTATTACATGCATATTCTTTCAAATTATAATTTTAATGACTATGTGGAAGCCCACCATATAGAAATCTCACTATATTTAGCTAATAGAATTTTGGAGTTTTAAAAATTTTTGCCTTTGTATTACAATTAATGGTGCAATGAATATCCTCTATATAAATCATTTTTTTTCTATATTACTAATTTTTTACTTTGAATAAATTCTTCAATTTGGAATTATTTGGTAAGTATAAAAACTTGTTTAAAAAAATTTTTTTTTTTGGTACCGGGGATCAAACTCAGGTCCTTGTGCTTGCCAGGCAGGCAGCGGAACCACTGAGCTAAGTTCTCAGCCCAATTTTTTTGATCAATACTTCTAAATTATTCTCAAGAAAGTTAATAGTAATTTACAGTTCCACCAAAAAAAACATTTAAAATGGCCATTTTTCTCAACCTAGAAAAAAATGTTTAAATATTTATATGTGAGCAGTTTTTTGACTCTTCAAAAAACTAAAAATAGAAATTCCATTTGATCCAGCTGTTCCTTTTCTAGATAAATCCTTCAAGAGTTATTTATAGGAAAATGGATGTACTTTGAGACCACAGTGTTAAGTGAAGTAAATCAGACACAGAAGGTTAACTATCTCAGTTTCTCTTATATAAAAACCCAAAGTGTAAAGAATTTAAAGAACAAAATAAAAGATAATAAGAAACAGAGAGGTAGAACTTTTGCAAATGGGAAGGGGATCTAAAAATGGAGGGAAAAGGAAGCAAGGGGAGGGGAAGGGGAAATAAAAAGAATTAAGATGTGTAATGTACATGTATCAACTCCCTATGATGAATGTCATCATTATGTACAGCAAACACATAGAAAAATTATGTCTTAATTGAAGAATAATTAATACTGTGCAAAAAGTGAATAATTTTGAACTTGTAACTTTACTGAGTGATTTCAAAATTCCTCTTCCATAATATTTACCGGAGTTACTACTACCAGAAATTTCTCAATTAAGAGCATATTCATTCCCATTCAGGTATATATGCCCTTTGGAAGAGATGGGGTAAGAAATTAAAAACTTGAGAACTAGACAAGAAAAATATTGGAGAACATAGAAATTTCACTAGTGTAATAAATCAATTTATGAAAAGGCATATTGGCATATCACAAAATGAATTTTTATTTTCTAACAAAATGTATTTTAAGATAAGCATATTTAATGTGCAGATTTGTCTTAAGACAAGAGAAAGAGAAGAGAGAAAATGCAGATTGGCTCTGTGAAAAAAATAAAGACCAGTTAAGCAGAAAAGAAGAGCAATATAATAGAGAAGTTAAAGTAAACCAACAACTTAAAAACTCCCTTAGGATACTCCATATGGAATTGAAGACCATAGGAAATAATTTGGACCAGGTAAAGTAACTTTGGTGATAATCTCATGCTTCTAACTTCTTGTCATCAGTATTACTTGTACTTGACATGTATAGTCATGTGCCCCTTAATGATGGGAATACCATCTGAGAGAGGTGCTGTTTGGCAATTTCATCCCTGTACAGACATCAGAAACAGGGAATTCCATGAACTTAAGGCATCGGCCTCATCACTTGGCATCAGACTTATGGAACCACTGTTGCAAGTGCATTCTGTTTTTGTCCCAAATATTGTTGTGTGGCACATTACTGTATTATTTAGTTTTAAAACTAAATATTATCTCACCCTACAAATAAACTATGATGTTTATAGCTAAAATTGTTTACTGTAAATCTTGGCTTCTAATATAGATGCTGAGTATGTTTTCTGAATGAAGGAATAGAAGATATGCTGAGTTTAATCAATACATAAATGTTGAGGAAGGACTGCTAGGAAGATGGGAGAGCATTAAGAAGCAACAAATCAACCTCTCCAAGATAGGAATCCAGACTCTGGAAAATAACAACTTGGGGAAGAAAAGAAGGGAAGTGGATCCCCAAGAATGTAGGAAGGATCTGAAGGAAAAATTGGAGCCCATAAAGTGAAGAGACAAACCTCAACACAGAAAAAGAAAGGGGCAATCTGCACTTTCTCTCTGGCTCCTGCTCATGGCATGAGAAAGGAAGATTGAATCGTTAGACAGAGTGAAAGTGGTGACTCTAGAGGCCTCCAAGGAGAAACACAACAGGAGAATGGAGCAGTGGATGCTGTGCACTACAATAGCTAGTGAGTGACTCCAGTCCAAGTGACTGCAGAGTCTGCTGGAGCCATTGCTTGGTTGGACAGCATTTTAGAGAGGAACTAACTGAACCTAGGAATCAGAGCAGCTGTGGATTGGCTTCATCTCTGGGCTTCCAGTGTTAAAAACCCACAGTGACTAGGTGAGGGACAACCACGGGAGACATACAGGGTCAGGGAGCTATGGTCAGGCACCATGAGACATCCAGAATGATGTAAGCTCAATGACTCAGTCTCGAACCCCACAACCAGAGGCCAGGATTAGCCTGAACTTCTGTGGAAATGAAAGTACCAGAACCAGCACTCCGCCCTAATCCTACTGCAGGCTTGCTGGGATTATCCAGCATGGAAATGGTCTCTAACTGTCTCCTTAGTCTACTTTTCATTATCAAATGAAAAATCTCTTTAAAATGGCAAGGGACCATGAATAATCAGTCCAACAGCTGCTAGACAATGCAAAGAAGGCTAATATAGGGTTAACTGGACTCAAAGAATCAGAAGATAGCCCAAAGGGCATAAAAAAGATGTTCACAGAAATAGTAGCAGAAAACTTTCCAAGCATGGAAAAAGAATTTGACATACAGATAAGTGAGGCACACAGAACCACAATTAGCCATGATAAAAAAAAGACTATACTAAGGCATATAATAGTCAAGATTCCAGAAATTCAACACAAAACACAATACTAAAAGTTAATAGTTTTTTTTGGGGGGGTTGGTACTGGGGATCGAACTTGGGTCCTTGCACTTGCGCAGCAGGTGGTGAAACCACTGAGCTAAATCCCCAGCCCAACTAAAAGCTGTGAGAGAAAAACAATTCACGTATTTTTAAAAAATCCATCAGAATTACAGCAGACTTCTCAACTCAAACCCTTAAGTCAAAGAGAGCTTGGAGTGAAATGTTTCAAGCCCTAAAAGAAAACAACCTCCAGTCCAGATTGATGTATCCCACAAAATTATCTTTCAAAATTGATAGAGAAACAAAATACTTCCATGATAAAGAACACCTGAAGAAATTCATGACCACCAAACCAGCACTTCAAAAAGTTCTGAAGGATATTCTAGAAAAAGACAATGAAGACAATAGTCTCAAGAATCTCAGTAGAATGAATCCACCAGGTACAGCAAGTAGTTAAACAGAAGAGAAAGTGAACCAGCAATAGAAAAATTATGTGACATGCCAAAATCAGGAAGAAGACAAGGATGTCCACTATCACCACTCCTGTTCAATATAGGTCTGGAAACATTAGCCACAGCAATTAGACAAGAGAAAGAAATAAAAGGAATAAAAATAGGAAATGAAGAAGTTAAACTGTAATTATTTGCAGATGACATGATACTGTATATAGAAGACCCCAAAAACTCCACCAAAAGACTTCTAGAGTTAATAACCAGATTCAGTGGAGTAGCTGGATATAAGGTCAACACTCAAAAATCAATAGCCTTTTTGTACACAAATAACAGACTCACTGAGAGAGAAATGGATGAAACAATTCCTTTCACAATAGCATCCAAAAACATGAAATATCTAGGAATCAACCTAACCAAGAAAGTAAAAGATCTCTACACTAAAAACTACAGCACTCTGAAAAAAGAGATGGAAAAGGATATAAGAAAATGGAAAAACATCCCTTATTCCTGGGTAGGAAGAATCAATATAATGCAAATGGCCATACTTCCAAAACTGCTGTATAGATTCAGTGCTATCCCAATTGAAATTCTAACAGCATATTTCACAGAACTAGAGAAAATAATCCAAAAATTCATTTGGAACCAAAAGAGACCTAAAATATCAAAGGCAATTCTGGGCAACAAAGACAAAGCAGGGAGTACCACAATCCCCAATGCAAAACTATACTACAAAGCTACCTTGATAAAAACAGCATGGTACTGGCAAAGAAACAGACCCAACAATCAATGGAACAAATTAGAAGATGCAGAAACAATGCCAGACATATTAGTCACCTCCTCTTTGACACAGGTGCCAAACACCCTCACTGGAGAAAAGATATCCTCTTTAATAAATGGTTCTGGAAGAACTGGGTTTCAACTTGCCAAAGGTTAAAACTAGACCTATATCTCTCACCATGCACTAAACTAAAATTGACATGGATGAAAGATCTAAATATTAAAACTGCTGGAAGATAGGTTAGCTAGAACTCTTAAAGACATTGATGTAGGAAAAGACTTGATGAACAAAACCTCAATCACACAGGAACTAGCACAAAAAATCAACAACGGGGACCTCATCATATTAAAAAGCTTCTGCACAGCAGGAGAAACCACCAACAGTGTGAAGAGACAACCACAATGTGGGAAAAAATTTTTACCAGCTGTTCCTCAGACAAAAGTTTACTATCTAGAATATATAAAGAACTTAAAAAAATCAGACCCCCAAAATTTGAAGACCCAATCCAAAAGTGGGCATCTGAAATAGATAGACTTTTCTCAGATGAAGAAGTAGAAAGAGCAAATAAATATGAAAAAAAGTTCAACATCAATGGTCACTTGAGAGCTGCAAATGAAAACAACACTGAGATTCCACTTCACTCCACAAAAAATGGCTGCTATCAAGAAATCAACCAATAACAAATGCTGGCAGGGTTGTGGGGAAAAAGGAACCCTTCTCAACTGTTGGTGGGAGTGTAGACTGTTGCAACTACTGTAGAAATCAGTATGGAGATACTTCAAAGAACTAGGATTAGAGGTCTCATTTGCCTCAGCTATTCCCCTGCTGGGTACCTTCCCACAGCGATTTATGCACACCCATGCTTACTGTGGCACAGTTTTTAATAGCTGAATATTGGAAACACCCCAAATTCCCATCCACTGGTGACTAGATAAAGAAGATGTGGGGTTTTTTAAAATAAAATGGAGTACTACTCAGCCATGAAGAATGATAAGCTAGAGACATTTATAGCTAAATGAATCCATATCGAGGCCATACTCCTAAGTGAAATAAATAAGATACACATGTATAAATACTGAATTATGTCTCTAGTATGAGAAACTGAAAGTGTAAATGAGGACCAAAATGTATAATTGATAATGTGAAATAGGAAGGAAAGGTTCAAAGGGGAAGTAGAGGGGATGAGGGAAGGGAAAGAAAAAATATGAGAAAAGAAGGAATAAATGGAAACAAAGCTTTTGTAAATAGGGAGGGGTGGAGGAGTAGAAGGGAGGAAAGAGGAATGGGAAAAAACAAGAACTAAGATATATCATGTACAGGTACAAATTCCCAAAGATGAATGTGATCATAATGTGTACCTAAAATGTACCAATAAACTTAATTTTAAAAATATAATGTGACAAGGATAAGTCAATACATATCAGTATAACCATCAATGTGAATGGTCTCAACTCACCAAAAGAAAAGCAAATAAATTGGCAGAATGGGTCAGGAAAGAAAATCCAACAATATGCTCTTATACAAGAAACACATTTAACTCAAGAAGAAATTCATAGACTGAAAGTCCAAGGATGGAAAATATTCCATGTGACAGGAATCCAGAAAAAAGCAGGGGTGGCTATTCTATTTGGAGACAAAGTGAATTTCAAGTTAAGACTCATCCCAAGAGACAAAGGAGGTCACTGCGTGCTTGTTAAGGGAAAAATCCAAGAGGAAGAGATAACAATCATAGATACATATGCACTAAATACCAGCATACCCAACTATATAAAACAAATATTAAAAAGTCAAATAAGCTCTATATAATTGTAATAAAGGATCTCAATACCCCATTGTCACAAACAGATTAACTAGACCAAAAAATCAACAAAGAAATATCAGAACTGAACCAAACCTGTGAACAAATGGACTTAGTAGATGTCTACAGAGTGTTCCACTCCACATCAGAACACACACTCTTCTCAGCTATGCCTGGTACATTCTCCAAAATAGACCACATACAATCTCATAGAACATACTTAAGTAAATGCAAAGGAATTGAAATTATCCCATGCATATTATCAGACCATAGTGCAATGAAATTGGAAACCACAAAAACTGCATAAACACGTGAAAATTAAATAACATCCTGCTGAATAACCAATGGGTCACAGATTAAATTAAAGAAGAAATTAGACAGTTTCTACAATTAAATGATAATGCCAGTTCAACATACTAGAACTTATGGAATGCAATGGAAGCAGCCCTATGAGGGAAATTTATAGTGGTGAATTCTCACATCAGAAAAACAAGAGCAA